AGAGAATGAAGGAAGGAAAAGAAAGAAAAAAAGGAAAGGAAGAGAAAAAGAAAGGGAGGGAGGAAAAGAAAGGAAGCAAGAAAGAAAGAAAAAGAAAGAGAGAGAAAATGAAGGAAGGAAAAGAAAGAAAGAAAAAGGAAAGGAAAAGGAAGGAAGGGAAGAAAAGAAAGAGGAAGGAAGAAAAGGAAGGTTGATGGGACGAGAAGTCACAGTCTCCTGGTTTCTGACTTGATATCTTAAGATCAGATCCATCACATGATGATCCAGTTTACAACTATAACAGTACATGACCATAATGGGCCAGTTCCAGAGGTGAAACGCTGCCTGTTCGGCCTGGCTCACTGAATGCTAGTTCGGGCGAACTAGTATTTCCGACGATCGGCTGTACTGCGTGATTTATATTAGCTAGAAAGCAGGACGTCGTCAGATTTCTTGCTTTCTAGCTGATCCCCTCCCCTTGCTGTTGTATTTACCTCGGAAGGCTTCAAAATGCTCCTTTTTTTCAACGCCCAGGAGGTTTCCCTGAGGCCCACTAGGCCAAAAACGGGGCGCGAGGGGGGGGGGGCTGCGAAAGAAAGACTTTTGACACCCCCCCATCACATGACCACCTGGTCACACCCACCTGTGGCGATGCGCACAGAACCAGTAGTAAAAAAAATTTGCATCCCACCACTGGCCAGTTCCATTTCAGTCATAAGCCAAGGACTACCTGTATTAGAACAGGCTTTCATGTGGCTACTGATCTTTTCATTTCGTATCGAAATTGTTTCACTGACGAGAACAGGTTGAAGGGATCTGTAAATGTCTCTCCCCGCAGAACTCCCTTTTCCCTGCCATGTCCTTGGGTTCTGAACTGGGCCGTTGTCACTCTTTCAGAGGCCATTAAAGGAGGATCGCAGGGATTTCTTGGAGCTACGTGAAGAGGCCGAGAGGAGAAGCTTTGAAGATGGCTGTCAAAGAGGTGATGTGAAGTGCAAAATGGCTGCCTCAGAAGTCACTGAAGATTGGATGAGCGTGTCGTTTCTTATTGATCTCTTGAAAAGCAACCTGACTTCCTAAATCTGCATCTGTTTTTGCAGTAGTGGAAATGTTGGTTATTACTTTTTTTTGCAAGGTCTCACATTCTGCATCACACTCAGGTCAGAATCGGGTCAGGTGTTCTGTTTTTATTTTCCATTGACCTATTTCTCCTAGGACAAAGCATGTTTCATGCCCCTGTCGGAGTCTGAATCCGAGGAGGAAGATGAACAGCTGACAGGGAGTGGGAATGTGGCTCCGTTGGCTGTGTAAGAAACTGGGGAAGGGCAAAGTCTGGGCAGAGCAGGGGAGAGGTAGAACAAGGGAGGAGTCCAGAGGACGAACCAGGCCCACCTCCTCTTCATCCTAGGGCACGCAGGGAGGAACAGAGAAGGGAGCAACGTGGGTTGTGTGGCTTACGGGGGAGGAAAGGGCCCTGATTCCCTTCATTAGCCACAGCTGGGAAGACAGTTGATAAGAAAGCCAGGCTGCGTGCAGCAGGCTGCTGGGAGCAAACGTGACTTTATCCTGTGTTGTTGTGGCTTATCTGTGTTCCTGGCATCTTCCCAACTGTGATAGTTTTGCTGTGCCTTCAAGTCTGAAATTCTTGCTCCTGCCCTGCCAAACTAATAACTTTAGTTTGGCTTGTTTGGACTTAAGTTACAGTTTGTGTTGACCGTGTTTTGGACTTAATTTTCTACAGTCAAAGGCTGTTTCTGGGAGAGTTTTTCTCCAGCCAGAAGGTAACCTGGACATTGGGGGTAAAGTTGGAGGTAATAGACTCTTATTGCTTATCTGACTGTTGCCTTCGTGCCACGCCCCAGGTCATCACAGCATGTGAGATGTGAGCTGATAGACAAAACCTCCTCAAAACAATTCTTCTAATTATAGTGGTAGCACAGTGTTAGAATGCAGGATTGCAGGCTGATTCTGCCCACAGTCTGGAGTTCAATCCTGACTAGCTTAAAGTTGACTCGTCCTTCCGTCCTTCCAAGGTCAGTAAAATGAGGACCCATATTGTTGGGTCTAATATGCAAATAATGCTTATATTGTAAACTGTCGAGAGACTGCTGTAAAGCACTATGGGGCAGTATATAAGCATAAACGCTGTTGCTATACATACTCCTCTGCTCCACCTCCCCAAACACTACAAACTCTGAATTGAACTCAAAATATTCCTTTATATTAGGAATGCCGGCAGTCCCGGCAAAAAGTATATCTTGCAGACTAACAAGTCCGTCCTTCTGGAAGATGTATAGTTGTCTGCCACACCTGTTTATTTCCGCCCTCTGCCTTTTTTTTCCTCAAAGCCACAGTAGGGTCTGACTGGCAGCAGTGGCTCTTCTGTCCCGAGGACTGGCCCATAGAATTCCACTGCTCTCCTCTCCTCTGCCGTCTGGGCATCCACACGTCAGGCATGGACCCAGCTGTTCTTCCTCATCAGCCAAACTCCAGACCTGGGGGCTGTTGACTCTCCATCTGAGGGCTTTATTGGCCAAGTGTTTTTGGACACACAAGGACTTTGTCTTGGTGCAAATGCTCTCAGTATACATAAAGGATACATTCATCAAGAATCACAAGGTACAACACTTAATGATAGTCATAGGGTACAATAAGCAACCAAATCATACTAGGAAACAGTCAATATAAATCGTAAGGGTACAAGCGACAAACTTACAGTCATAAGTGGGAGGGGATGGGTGATAAGGAGTGATGAGAAGATATCACCAAGAAAGGATCAAATTAAATACTGAGAGAATTATTAGTTAGGTTCTATTTTGGCAGGGAGGAAGACAAAACCACAGAGAAGTTACATTTCAAGAATTTAAATTTTTAGAAAAGCCCATTTTTCTCATTCAATCACTGGTCTTCCTTTGAAAAAAAAATCCCTTGTTTTCTAGCTGTGTATGAGTGGTCATTGACATATTTTGTGTCTGTTCCTTTTGAACAAAATTAAAAGGGCCACCTCACCTTCTAAATTCTGTTTTCCATTACTTGCAGGCCTTGGAATCCAATCTCCAAATGAAGCTAATTCGACTCTTTTTTCAGAAGAAGAAGGCAGGGTCTCAAATGGTGAGAGAAAGGTAATGAACATGCCTACTTAAACCATTTGTATAATTCCATTTGTGACTGTAAGAAATGGCTGTGAACTATCAACCTGCGGCTCATTAAAGCAGCTGCATCTCTCTGAAAATTAAGAGCACCTCAATATTTCAGTCGTCTTCTCTGAGGAAAAAGTGAAGTGAACTCAGAGGAAAAAAGTTCAGCTATTTGGAGAGATTCTTGAATCACCAGTTCACTCATCAATGAGGATTTGAGGTCTTGCTTATTGGTTGTCCAAAATTCTATACAGGTAGTCCTCGATTTATCATCACAATTCAGCCCAAAATTGAGGTTGCCTCCATTTTGACCACAGTTGTTAAGTGAATTACTGAAGTTAAGTTAGTACAGGTAGCCTTCGACTTAAGAACAGCTCGCTTAGTAGATAGAATAGAATAGAATAGAATAGAATAGAATAGAATAGAATAGAAT